TGGTCTCTGTGGACAGCAATGAGGTATCATCTTGCCTAGCCAACTACGTGGAATGAGAGATGAAGAATATCCCCTGCACAAAGACCACTACCCCCCTGAAAGGAGGAGAAGTAAATCTTTGTCTTCAGAAGATACTGCTTGAAAGCTTGATATTCCTTGGTATAATTTAACAATGCCAGCTTATACCACAGGGGACAGAGTTTCTGCCTGAGAGCTGTTCACCAAGTCTGCAGGATGTGGGAAAACAATAATGTGGTGGGTTTTTTTACCACAAACCACAGCTGTAAAGAAACCTCTATTCTGTACTAGATATAAAGGTCCTTATCCCTAAGTGTATGTTCCATGAAATCATACCCCAGCACTGGAAAAGGCCCAGCTGCTTGGTTGAATGCCTTCAGACCATCTCTGCCATCTTCCCTATGCAACCTAGCCCTAGATAAGGATGTTCTAAAAGCAGCTGAGTAACTGAGGTACGTAATCTTTGAAATTAATCTTTGCTGTAAACACACTGTGACATCCAAAGTACCGTATCATATTCTTTCTGAAATTATGGGCATAAATGGCATCTCAAATGCGTTACTGTCATTTAGAGATGTAAGAGAATGGCAACCATTAATCAGCAGTTTTAATTTGCTGTATTTCTTGTTGATATATCTGAGTTAATTTATAAGACAATCTATTTCCCAATGAGTAAAGCTGTCTCATCTCTTCTGTGTGGACTTATTGCATGATAAAGGATCTTGCATTTGTACGGGGCATCTGAAGCCTCTGTTTGAGAGAGTACAAAACACCCTGAGCTTAGTTGCTTCCATCTGTCACTTCTGGTGCTGCATCAAAAATGAACTAGGGCTTACATGTATGCAAAAAGAAAATGTTGGTAAAGCAGAGACCTGGAAGTCCAGGCATTCTTTTACTAAACATCATAGTATGCATGTTAGTTATTAATTTTATACAGCTTTTGACCAATATATTTTAGTGATTTTGAATGTAAAAAAAAAAATTAATGGATGCTATTTTTAAAGAATTAGAAGGCATGTTTTCCTTCTTGCACTGTATCCAAATTGCTGCTCCTACTCTAAACCACAATTAATGTAGATTATGTGCAGCCCATACAACCATCTATTATTCTGCATTGCCACAAATGAGTATAGTTTTGCAAGTGTGTAGATATCACACTGTTGGCTCCATCTGTATTGAAAACTATTTTCTTGATTAATTTTATTGCCTTTCAATCACGTATTAAGAGAAGACAACCCAGTACTATGGAGTTGATGTTCTGCCTGCCGCTAGAAACAATTGTAGTGAGTAAGAAACCTTTTCTGCACAATGGAGCTGGCCTTAGAGCTGTATCCTGCTCACCCTGTGGTACTGAACCTGCCCTGCATTGGACCATGGACTCTGTCTGCCTCATAAGACATTGCAATGGATCCTCTTCTGTCATGGGATGGCTATAGTGATTTCATTTGCGAAATAGTCTGAGCCTGGAGACCTCTGGTATTTCTGCTCTGATGGTGAGGACACTGTAATCACAGGTAAGGAAAGCTTCAGAGCGGCATAGAAAAATAAGAAAAGGATCTGTGAACTTAGAGAATGGAAATTTGGTAGCTACAACAAACAGAGGCATGAGACATCACAGGACAGAGCAGAACAGAGCTATGATGTTGCCAGAGGAGTGCACAGGTATGTTTGTCTTTTGTATCTTCTATTACTTTTGGAAACGGTCCATCTTGTTTACTGTTTGTATTGATGTCTGTCGGTTGTGGAAAGGTGAAACACAAAGCAGCATATCTCCCTTCACACAGTGATAACAGGGATGTGTTACTGTGTTTTGTAGGTGCAGTGAGATAGATAGAGACTGTCCAATCCAAAGACCAGAGAACAAAGACTTGCTTAGTCTGCAAAGACTATTCTTTGCTGAAATATCAGCGTACATTCCTGTACTTACTGAAGTAGTGTTCCTTGCAGAGCTCTACCATGCACTAGAGCCTGAAAAACAAGGTGTTCAAGTTCAGGTCTAGGCTTCTTGCATGCTGTGACAGAGTATGCTATAGAGAAGCAGGGACTACACAGACGGTCGTTTGATCATCTGTGTAGGATCTGCCTTATGGCAGTACAGAATGGGGTTTTTATCACTCTTTCTGACCATTGGTCTTTGTTAGAGAGACAGAAAGTGTGCTGGGATTGTTTTCATCAGCTTTTGTTTGTTCCTTCGAACAACAAAAGGGAACTGTTGGGAGCTGTATTCAGTGCTGGCAGTGAAGATGCCACTTTTTCTTTCCCATTGTCTTCCTCCATTTGCTAGCTAGTAACAGAGCATATAGAGACCTGCCCTCTGCCTTCTCACACACATGTCCTGAAACGTTTTGGTAAGCCTGCGCCCAGCAGTGTATTCAATCTGTTATTAACCCCATGTAGATAGTATAGTTTGTCACTGAATTATAGCTAAAACACCCCTAGAAAAGCTATTTTAATTGTAAGAAAATGAATTCAGATCCTGTCTCACAAATCTAGTTCTCAAATGTTGCTAGGGAAACAGAAGGCTGGACAGAGAAGCAGTAACAAATAGACTTCAAGGATTACTGCACCGATGAGATTGCCTGTGTCCTCACTGGTCAGGTAACCCAAGACTCTTCCCCCCTTATTTTCCATTGTCATTTTGCCTCCCTTCCAAGGATACAAGTGGCTTGATCCTTCTGCCACCCCTCCCTGCCTCTGAGAAGCAGCAGTGAACAGGGGCTAGTAAGACAGGCCCACCTCACGGGGCTTGCCAGGGTTAATCCGTGGGTGGTTCTGATGTGCTCCAAGTGCCACGTAGGACTGTGAGCTGTGCAAGTGCTCTAGCTCAGCTCTTTCCAGTTCCCCCTCCTTGTTTGGTTCCCCCCCCACCCCTCTTTCACC